TAATAATAATAATAATAATAATAATAATAATAATAATAATAATAATAATAATAATAATAATAATAATAATAATAATAATAATAATAATAATAATAATAATAATAATAATAATAATAATAATAATAATAATAATAATAATAATAATAATAATAATAATAATAATAATAATAATAATAATAATCATGATAAATGCTTAATAATAGATATAAGCAAAATAGGGATTCTTCCAAAAAATAATGATAGTTGGTGATAATGATTAGCGAATGGAAAAGTCAATTAATTGATTAATTAATCAATGAATCAGTTGACTGATCAACTGATTATCAGATGTCAAATAAAAGGTTAATTAATGATGCTATGATTTCATGAATTGGTGAAAAAAACAGTGTATTAAAGTTATTTAATGAGATAGAATTAATAGTTGAGGTAATACATCAAATTTTGGTAAATTTCGGGAAATGACGGAGGGAATATGAAGAAAGGATAAGAGAGGTGCATGCATTGATGCGTGAATAGCATTCCTGTCACAACTGTAGAACAGAGGATGATGATGATGATGATGATGACCGGTTAAAATGAGGAAGAAACTGTTTGATGATTTAGAGGAAAACTTGATGTAAAATTAGGTCATTATGTATGACTGGAAATTAAATCGAATAAAAATCAAATATTATAAATTTGAATATTAATTTGAAAAAAAAACTTTTTTTCAAATGTCAAAAATTCTTTAAATTTGACAAAATATATTTTCGATAACACAAAACTTTTTCCTATTTAATATTGAATAAGCAATAAACATTGATTAATAATTGATAAAATTATTGATAAACATTGATTGATAACTGATGAAATCATTGATGAATGAAAAGGTCATAAGATTTGTGACAAAGATAATATACACTTAAATTAAGTTAAAATAAAAGTGACACATGTCAGAATATATTTTAAACTTTTACAAATGAAATTAAAACTTCTTTCAATCCTTTCCCTGTTTGTTTGTTTCTTTTTTTTGAGAAAAAAAGAAAAAGAAAATTTAATTCTTTCATTTGATATTTCAAAAAAGAAGAAGAGAAATGCAAAATGTAAGAATAAGACGGCAAATAATTTGATTGAAATGTTTATTGGAAATTTCCTCGTGAAAATACAAATTATTTGTGAGTGATAGTATGGTCGAATTATCGATCAATAAGTGTCATATCTGATAAATCATTTCAAAAATGTCATAGAAATTTGAGAGAGACATATTTTTGCATATATAAATTGACAATTGATGGAAAGGAATTATTTGTATTATGGATGGCAGACGCCGTATTACAATAAGGAATAAAAACCGGATTGAATTCAGGCACTTCTCATTGTTTTGTTAATTCCATAATGATGATAATACTTTTAATTTTAATATGTTAATAATTGAGAAAGATGAAGTTACAGTATAACTTAATTGGAAACAGTATGTGTTGTTGCTTCGAATGCTATTTTGATAAGTGACATTTGATAAGTGATAAGTTTAATAGGTTTAATTAAACTGATAAGTTTAATCAGAATACATAACTGATAGAACTGATCTTTCTCTAGATCTTCTGGATTTTTTAAATAATCTTCATTGCATGCATAGTAAACGTATTCTAAATGAAAAGAAAAAAGTTGAAGAAAAAGTTTAAATAATCTGAAGGAGGAAAAAAGTTAAAACAAAATTGTTAAAATATTAATTTCGGCAAAAAAGATTGTTTAAAAAGTTCGAGGAAATTTAAGCAAATGAAATTATTCGAAAGAACTGGTAAGAATCCCTATCGTATTCCATTCATTTTTAAACTCTTCTGAGAATTTAAACACTCTGAAGAGAGTTTAAACTCACAGAGTTTAAAAATGAGTGAAATGTTGTAGATGGCGATTAAAATTCATTAAGAGAGTTAATTAAGTAAAGTAAATAGAAAATTAATGCATTCGAATTATTTAAAAAATTCATTCTCGCTTATAATATTCCGCCAATCAATGGTTTCATCATCATTTGATGCTTTTTGAAGTACCAATAAGCGCTTTTTAAATGATCAAATAAACATCTTTTATTCGTTTCAATAAATTAACTTTTAATTATTCAAGTATGATGATAGATTTTAAATAAAACATACAGAGTAAAGATGATCCAATTGATGCTCAATTCGACATTGTACCGAAAGGGAACGAATCCATAATTGATACCAACGTTTTGTCAATGTTTCCAAATGTCGCTGTTGTCGTTGAATCCAACGATTAGCAACTCTTTCGTTTATCTCCAAATTTCTGTAAATTAAAATATTCTTTGCTTACAAAAAATATGAATCTTTCTTTTTCATTACTTTCATTATAATATTAGATAATATTAATATTAAAAGATGTTAAATAGAAGAGAATTCTTTGTAGAATTCTTTTTCGAATTACAACCCTATAAAATTTAGCAGGAAAAGTGACAAATCTAGAATTAATGAAAGATTGAAATAACGAAATTGAAAGAAGTAATTACCTGGTAATAGTTCGTTGGACGTTATTTACTAACGTATTACCTTCAGTTTCGATTTGTAACTGGAGAATCTAAAAATTTTAACAAATTATATATTGATAATCGATTAATTACATTTTTTTTTCCTCTAAGATTTTATCATTTGCTTATAGAAAAAGATGAAAAATTATTTACTAAATGGGAAGCTAAATTAGCGAACGTTATAATATCAACCAAACACGCATGGCATAATAAATCACTGTCTATTCCGTGACTATTACATATTATTTATTAATTTAAATTTTCATTGAAAGATTTCATTTTATTTTATTAGTATGAAAAAAGAACATATGAAATAAAAACAGTTCAAACATGATCAATTTTATTAAATTGATTAGAGAAATATCTTATCATTTTTTTAATCTATGAAAATTAATTGAATCTTAAAACTATAACAACATAAATAGATTATCTTTGATGATACTGATAGCAAAATGATATAAGTTTTGTAAGATAACTCATTTGGGAAACAATCATAAATCATGTATATCAGTAGCGATCGGATAGATGTATATTAAAAAAGGATAGGAATATTTTAACTACCAATAGATAAAGATAGGAATTCCCGAGATTACTATATATTTTATGATATGGATAGCAAGGTCATACCAATCACCAAATGTATTAATAATACTTTGTTATGCTATCGAAAAATCGCATTGCATGGTTAATGTTTGAGCATTTTACAAAGAATGAATACATATATATATATCGGAGAAAAAAAAATCAAAAATGAAGAGAAATTTTAATGAAAAATAGAAAAAATAAAAGGCAATCAATTTAATTAATTTCATCAGAGTTCATAGATCATTCAATATAGCTATCATTTTTGCACGAGTAATATATAAAATGAAGATTGAAATAATAACTTCAAAAACTGACTAGTTTTCTAAAAAGTTCAATTTTAACTCTTCAAGTTTGAGTATAAAATTAAACAACAAAAGTCAATTAATGGGATATTTCCCAAAATTAATTATGAAATGATCCATTTCTAGTAAAGTATTGGTGGGAAAAAAAAAGGGATCGTCTTTAATTCAAGATTGGAAAATTATATTAACAGTAATAATGGCCAGTGATCAGTTATTCGTTTTGAATTCGAAAATTTATTAATTTATCAGTGAATCAATTGCCTAATGCAAGTGATCAATCAATCAACTATCCCACATAATTAACTAATTAATTCAATTTTTCTACGACCTCTTTAGAGCATATCAATACTGTTATCCCTAATATCCTCGAGACTGCATCCAATTATAAATAATACAGTGATACTAAAATTTCTTTCATTGATACCTATCATATCATAGGTAATGGATCATCAGAATTACATTTACGTGACATTGTTCAGTGATCCGCTTAGAGTAAATACTACTGCTATTCCAAATATCATGAAAACCTACGAAACACATTACTATCTTCGGTTCTAAAATTTTATTCATAACTGATAATTTAGATCGGTTTCATCTATCACTCAGTACAATGTAATATTTTCATTTATTTTTTATTTGACTTTGGAATTTTCTAAAAATTCAAAATTTTCCGAAAATTCAAAATTTATGGATTATTATATATTTCTACCACATGACCCAGAATTAAATTTAATAATAATAAAATTATTGCTATTATTAGTATCATTATCATTATTATTATTGCTATTACTGTTTTTGTCAAATAATCTGGAATAAATTTAATTATTACTATTATTACTATCATTATTATTACTATTATTACTATTATCACCATTATTACTATTATTATTATTATTATTATTATTATTATTATTATTATTATTATTATTATTATTATTATTATTATTATTATTATTATTATTATTATTATTATTATTATTATTATTATTATTATTATTATTATTATTATTATTATT